GCTATAATTCACAGGGATTCACACACTTTACTTACGGCTTGACTTGATTATCTCTATCTTCAATCTCTTTATCTATCTATCTGCAATTCTAATCTCGCTTTCTTTGCCGGGCTTATATGCTAAAAAAGAGGGTGCCTGGAACAGACTAGAATTGCCAGGACAATTCACGATCCTTCGAGAATCTCATCACATGTTACCAGAATCACGTGACTTCCGTTGTCGTAACAATATTTTGTAATAGCTACATCCATTTAACACTTTTTTAATATTTTAACTGTATATGCAATAACTGTGTTGATTTTTACAGCAATGCTGATGTTTTCCATTAGTTGTATAAATCACTAATGTTGATTAATGTGGTTTATTGAAGAAAACTTGATTGAAGTATGATTATAGTTGTATGCATTTTCAATTATTATAACTTCTGGAAATATTGTGTTGGTTTCAGGGATTGGAACTTAATCCAAAGGATGCTTGGGCCACTCATGCTCTTGCTCACGTATTGGAAATGGAAGGTCGTACCAATGAAGGGATTGCTTTTATGAGTTCAACAGTGAAGAACTGGGAGGTTACTAAATACCAATAATTTTTTATGGATATCTTGTGTACCAATATGCATAGTATTTTCAAGAACTATATATGTATATATATATTATGATCATTGTTAAAGTTATGAGCCTCTACAGTGCAAAAGCTGATATCAGGCTTTGGCTGCATCCTTAGTGTCTGTTTTTTCATACACTAAAAACAATGAAAATACCACAAAAGCCTATTTACTACAGGAATATTCTAAAGGTTATTGTTGAAGTAATTTGTGCCTTCTACTTTAACTACATTACTGAAGATCTTGAATGAGAATTTTTTCCTTAATAACATACTATACAACATGTATTAAAATGATTTGTTTGTTGATATAGCTTGTATATAAATTTTAACCTGTTTTCTTGACCTGTAATACTTTTTCTTAAAAGTCACAGTTTAATTAATACTTAGAGTATTTAGTGCTTATTTTTGTAATTTTATGTTCAAAATATTATAGTATTTATTACAAGTGACAATTTATAAGTATGCCACTCATTGTTAAACTTTTTTGTTAATTTTGCTGTATTTTTTTTTTTTGCTTTTGCTTTTTATTAAAGCTTGAACTTCTGTTTTTTATGGATCTTAAATTGATGTCAGTTTTTTTCTATTTTCTATTTTTTTCTGGGTTTTAGGTGAACAATTTGTTGGTTTGTCACAATTTCTGGCACTGGGCAGTGTATCATATTGAACAGGTCAGTGAAAAACAATAATGTATGAAGTTTACTATAGGCAGGTAGTGTAATTGCTTACCATTGTCACTACTGATCACTACTTTAGATTGCAAAATCATCATCATATGACACAAAGTTCAAGATTATTGAAAATAGTATCACAGGGCATAAAAGTAATAACACTAAGACAAATGACAGTGAGCATGTATCTATGACATGATATATACAATATACCTAAATTACACTATTTTAAACACAATCAACCTAGCATAGAACATTGTAAAACTGAATCTGTCTAGCCTAGATCATGGTAGTCATTTTAGACATAGCTTGGACTATTTGACATTTAGTAAGTTTATTTTAGATGACTGATTGGAAACAAAATCAAATTAGCTTAGATAATGGTAGATGTACTCAACCTAGCTCAGATAATGATAGATGATAGTAACCTAACTTATAAATTAGTAGAGGAAATTAACCTAGCTTAGATGATAACAGAGACAGGATAGTTTTAATTGAGTTCATAACCTACAGAACCAACCTAGTGTAAATCTATTTACATTCCACAGGTCCAGTTTAGACAATTAAAAAGATACAACAAACCTAGCTTATATCTTGGTAAAAAGATAATTATTGTTGGTTATAACATTGTAGAGAAAATCAGCCTAAATTATATTCTTGTAGGCACTGCTTTCATTCTGATTGCCCTTGTTACTTTGTTATTCTCAATGAGTAATATTTTACTTGCCTGGGAGGCTACTGCTGCAATACTGCATGTTGTAAAAGGATGTCATGAACAGTGTCCTTCAGTGGTCGATCAGGTGATATCTAGAGGTTATGGAATGAGACTGATCAGTCATTTGCATAATACTAGCTGCAAATGAGAAGTTTCTCGAAAACTGAGCATCATTATAGTTAGTTAGTCTGGAACAGGATCTTGAAGAAGAAGAAGGAAGTAGTAAGGGTTTGGAACTTCATATTTCACTTTATGTTCAGTATCATTATTCCATTCAAAATCATGGCTTAGTTATTCAGAGATTTGGCATTACTTTGTAATCAACATCTTGATATAATTTCCTATTATTGAACAGAGCTATCCATTTGTTCAAAAGTTAATTCAATTTTACGTGAATATACCACAGTAGTAATTTAAACAATATTGCTTAAATGGTGATGGTCATAGAATGACTGTAGTTTAGACTCGTTTTGTTATATTAATAATTATATGGTTTCAACAGCCAACATTTATGTCTATTATATTCATTTGTTTTCATTTTCTTATCACCAGGGTGAGCTAGAAGCAGCAATGGATATCTTTGATACACAGGTTGGAAAGAAATTACATTCTGGATCGTTCCTGGACATTTCTGATGCTACAGCTCTTTTATATCGTTTGGAACTTGAAGGTTATGAGATTAATGTAAACGGGGATTTAACCATGTCAATTTATATGGGTATTTGTATATAATGACATTTCTCTGCTTTAATATGCAATTTAATTAAATATTCAGTGAGCAATTTGGGTTCATTGAACTGTATCTCAGGTGGGATTTTAATTTTTAACAGTAATATTAAGGAGCAAATAATGGAAATAATGTTACACACTAGTGATGCAAATTACGTTTCATTAGAATAGTGTATGGAAATTATAGCTAGATGGTTATACACTTAAGTAGTGATGCATCTGTTGGAAAGATATATGAAGTGTAGAATCCTGGAATTGTAGAACCATAAGTTGAAATGAAAATAGTTTTTGAAACCTTATTGAGAGCAGCTTTATCAGGGCTGTATCACTATCATGTAAGTGTGTATGCTTTTCTGTAAGTGTTGGCAGAATAGTAGTATCCAAAGTTTGTTTCAACTTTAAATTTCACACATTCCACGATATACACTAAACTATGGCTTAAATAGCTACATCTTTATTGTGCTATGTAACTCTTCTTTGTACAATGGACTAAAGAAAATTTTCTCAGTCAGTTTAAATTTTCGATTGAGTCAACAAAGTTCTTTCTAGTAGAGAGGATAAAAGCTAAAATTCATTAAAAGACTTAGTGCCTTAGAAAGTAGGAGATCCTGAGTAGCAAGGTAATCAGATCACACAGTGCACTAATAGATTATGTTGTTATCAGAGGCTCAGAATGACTTGTTCCTCCAAAGAAACCTTCTAAAATTAAGCCTCAAATTAAGTGGCTATTTTGAAAAGTTAAACACCACATATTTGTTTTTGTGTGTAAGATATAAAAAAATAAATATATTTAAATTTTAAATGATATATACTTAAGTTACCAGTTAGAGGCTTCTAAAATCTAATTAATTGCAAATAAAATAATTGTTTTCCCACTTAAGAGAACATTTTTTGAAGGTCAGTTTTAACTCCGAATGTTACTGAGAGAACACGGAATGAATCACTAGTTGTATGTCATTTGAAGTTAAAATAGATGTTTTTGAAACACATTTAGGAGCCCAAGTAAAGGACAGATGGAGGGAGGTTTCAGAAGTATGTCGCACATACATTGAGGATCATACTTCAGCTTTCAATGACACCCATATTTTCATGTCATGCCTTGGGGCAAAAGATGAAAATGCAACAAAGCTGCTAATGAATTCCCTTGATCAGTACATCAGGTAAATCAATGTTATAAGTTGTTATTTGGAAACTGAAGTTTTAAAAATTCATTTTAAACATTGAATTAATCATACACCCCTTAACTTTTATAAAAACATTGTTTTTAATTATGCTTCATACTGCTTTTGACTAATACTTTTTTAGTTAAGCATCTTAAATGAAACACAAATCATACATACAATTCAAACAATTAACTATAACCATGCGTCACCATCTTGGAAAAGCTGTTCACACCAAAACAATTGTTGTTTTAATAAATGGCATATATAAATGATGTTGCTAGTGTGTTTGTTTTGTCACAATTGACCTGATGATCTCTGAATGGAGGGAAATGTGTTATCAGCAATGGATATTACAAAAAATAGTATGATTGAAATACTATTATTATATGCTCTTCTATTACTTGAAAATCCCTAAGAGACTAGATAAAGAATGCAGTGTTAAAAAATATAATAGACCTAGTACTAATGTCTTATTAAACATTTAATTAATTATGATCATGCTTTGCCAGCTTAAAAAAGACGTTCACACTATAACAGTATACCAGTTGTTGTTGTTGTAACAAATGGCTTATGTATGTGGTGTTCCAATCACTACTGTGCTTTCTGTGTCCCAGCTGGCCTGATGAGCTCTGGATTGACTGATATGCATCATCAGAAATGACTATGGCAAACATAGTGTGGTATTATTATTATCATAAACATAGCATGGTATTATTATTATCATAAACATAGTGTGGTATTATTATTATTATAAACATAGTGTGGTATTATTAGTATTATAAACATAGTGTGGTATTATTATTATTATAAACATAGTGTGGTATTATTAGTATTATAAACATAGTGTGGTATTATTAATATTATAAACATAGTGTGGTATTATTAGTATTATATATTCTTCTAATTCTTGAAATTTCATAAGGGATTTGATAAAGAACATAGTTTTAAAAAATGAAATAAGTCTAATACCTATGTCTTATGACAAATATAATATATTATAATAGCACATTGCCATCTTAGAAAAGGTGTTCACACCATAACAGTTGTTTTCATTTTATTCATTATTTTGCAAAGTTTGGTCCGTTCTATTGAAATATATCTATGTTTTGTGTATTAATAAGCTGTGTGGATCTTAATAGCAAATAGTCTGAAAGCAGTAACTTATTTCATCTTTTATTTATAATTAGTTCAATTAAAGCTTGTTTGTTGAAATGTTTAAAATGACTTTCAGATAAATTTTAGATTCTATGAGAATTATTTGCACAATTAGCTTAGAATGTGGATTTTGGACTCAGTCTAACTAAACCTTGTGATACTTTGTTGGGATTATTACAAAAATTATATTTAACAAAAAGGATACCTAACTGGTGATTCAATGCACTGTAATGATTATAGGTATTTCAATTTCTGACGCATTAATGACATACAGCATTTTAATCACTTTACTAAAGCATGATTGTCTCTATTAATTTATAATTTACTTTTAACTCATTTCTGATCTGTATACAGTTGGATTACTTTTGATTATACGTCTTGATAATAATGTGCTCAGATAGTATTTCAGATAGGAAACTTGTTTCTGTTGACCAAACAAAAAAGTGCAATTAGCCAAAGTACAACACGTGAGAAGCATCTGAGTTGTCAAAACAGGTAAACTTGCCTCTGAAATATGAAAAGCTTTCCTTGTTGATTTGCTCTCATACTGCCAACAACAATGTGACTAAAGTTCTGAATGCCCTTCTTGACTCTATTCTGAGCATGTGTCAACATGGGCATCCACAGACATTTCTCCAAGGGGGAAATTTCTAAATCAAGGGTATATATATATATTCAGAATAAATATAGAAAGAAATATGTTTTTAAATTTCCAGGGGAAACAATGCCTTATCCCACAGACACCCATATGTGTCAACTTATCCATAGTTTTCTATTTTTCCACCTTTTACATGACTTATTGTGCCCACAGCAGGAATAGCCATATTAGCCCATTGTGAAGATTTGTGCTTAACAAGAAACAAAAACCCATGTAGGGACTAAAATTCGTTATCCAATACGTTAATGGAACTCCATAAATCTCAGGATTTAAAGAAGAGATTCCATGATATTCATATTGTATTAATCATTTTGGACCAGAGTGGTGATTCTTAATGAAACAGCATGAGTTTTCAGAAAAACTTATTGTGTACATACACGAGAACACTCAGTTGTGGAAAACCTGCCTTTTTCTTATGGTAATGATTGCAAAGAATTATGAGTATAATAATAAATCATAAAATATTAGAAAACATTCTTTTACTCAAACCTATTCACTGCCATTGTCTGAAGAGCAGAATTAAAGTCAGTTAACTTTAATTCTGATGAATCTCTTACTGGTATTAATTGTCGTTTTTCTCAGGTATGTTCTACCTTAAATTTTGAACTAATTTTTATTATAGCTGTGTGTACTCATTCTGGAATATTCAGTTTGAAAATCCTTATATTTTCCACTTTTTGATTTTCAGGTCATTACTTATGCTTTTACAAAATAACTCAATGTTACTAACCTTTTAGCAGGAATATCTGCCTCTACTCTTCTTACTTCTGAAACTATTGCCTCTCAGACTCTTATTTCTTTTTTTGGGGGTGGGGGGGGGGTTAAAGGTTCCATGTTGTATTCTACACTTTGACCCATTATCAGTTTTCTGCCCTGCACTTTTTATTTTGTTTAACTTTGAGAATTTCTTCTCCAGAGGCAGTTATCATTTATCAGGTACTCTTGTTATCTGTTTTATTTAATCAGAATCAAAATTTTTATCTTGCAGTCTTCCTTAGCTGTAGCTCTCACTGTTTTAGTATCTCTTACCACATGGCTCTTATGTTACTTTAATGTCTTTGCCCATCATACATTGCTAAAAGATATTGTTTCCCCCTAAATTTTCAGCTGACCCTGAAAGAGTTTCCTATTTGCAATACTAATCTGTACTATTTTCCCATTCTTGAGAAGTATGCCAGCGGGAGCTGATTTGGGCTTTAGCATCTCAACATATTTATGGTAGGGGCACTTTTTAGACTAATGTCAAGTAATCTTTGTTGTCCTTCCTTGCCTCATTTACTTCTCAGTCAATTACAGCTACTTTACTCATTTCTCCTGATTTTATCAAGTGGCCAAAAGTTGTAGAAAGCAAGATGGACATTCTTGTCCCAATCAATGACTTTCCAGACAAATCTCCTATCTGGACTACTGAGGGGGGGGGAGTCATCTTGGTCATTGATTCATCTAAGAGACACATGGCTTTGAGATCCAT